TGTTTATTGTTGTTTGTTGTTGTTTGCAAAACCTCAAACATCTCCACAACGACATTCCTCGCCCTTGCTTTCGCGATATGCCTACAAGGGCGATTTCAGCGAGCCGCCAGGATGGCCCGGCTGGACTCATCGCCGCTACTGGGCCCGGCAGACCTGGCAGATTCAATGGAGATCTGAGATCTGGTCATGGTCTGTTTCAAGGCCCCTCCAACACATCGGGTTCTTGCAACCCACGAGTCGAGGACAGGACTGGGCCTCAAAGAGGGGTCTGTGGGTGACCGAAAATATTTTGGTGGGAAGTGTGTACCAGAAAAGTTCGGCGTAGGAGGGTGCGTGGCTTTTTGAGGAACCAACCCTCCTGCCCTCCCACCGTGCTTGGCATCCCACCACCTCTATCAAAGTGGCCGAATTTGAACACGGGTCAGAACCACGGGGTCAGGCGAATAATCCCCGAAGAGCAGGCGCAGACTGGGTTGCCATCATGGCCTCCATCCTAGCATCCTAGCAGCAATGGCCTCCATCTCAATAGCCATGGTCTCCATTCTCATAGCAATGGCCTCCGTTCTAGTTGCATTCTAATGGCAATGGCCTCCATCCTAACAGTGAAGAAGCCCTGACCTACCCATCCGCGAGTCCTTGGAGCTGTTCAAGACTCGGATGCGTGCTTCAGCCCTTTCCAAATCCTGCTGGCAAAAGTTGCAGCAGGTTCTCCCCAAGAAGAGCGAAACCATTTTGGTACGCAGATGCGAGGTACATAGGTAATTGAGGCTGTGAAAAAGTACACATCTCTTTTTCACGCTTTTCAGCACTTTTTCACACTTTTTCACCTGGTTTCACACTTTTTCACACTTTTCATCACGTTTTATTACTCTTTAAAAAGTAATAAATCACGTTTATCACTTTCTTGAATTTAAGTTTGACTGTGAATTTTGTGACAACAGACTTGAACACCACCATTAGCAACTCTTTCATGACACACTCACCAGTATCTTTGCCGCGCTGCAACGCCAAAAAAGTCAAGAGTCAAAGAGTGAGACATGAGTGAGACAGCTGTGTCTTAGCCTATGAATCTATGACCATGTCTTTGTCTATGACTTTGACCTTTCTAGTATTTGCTAAATGAATCTATGACTTTGACTTTGACTATGTCAATGAATTCTATATATGTACTATGAATCTAGTACTTTGATTTGGTCTATGAATCTATGACTTTGACTTTGTCTGCATCAAATCTCCGAGAACTGGCCCACACCTCCAAACCAAGTCAATGATTGATCGCCAGACTGGCTGAAAGCCAAACACTGGCCATTGATGAAACAAACCAAGGCCACTCACAGAGGCCACTCACACAGGCCCAACCTGATAGCAGAGATAGAAGAAAAAAACAAAAAGTCTGAGTCAAAGAAAAGAAAACAAACTGAAAGCTCAGGAACCAAACCAAGGCTGTTACCTCTGCCAATCCATTCCCTTCATCCACAAATCCTCATCAGCCTGACTGGTTCGACGCAAAGCCTCAGAAACATACAGCATGAGCACATGAACTGAATGAACACAGACATGAACAAGTGCCAAAAATGCTTGCTTGCAAAAAATGACAAAATGCTTACACACACAACTGTAAGCCACACACACTCTTTTAACTCTTTGAATTACAGGGTCAAAGACATGTTGCAGCCACTCTTGGCTAGAAAGACTCTAAAATGGAGCGATACACCTTGGAGATCTCTTCGCAAAGGAGTTCAGGGTAGTGACCGCTTTTTGTGACAATCTCACCCTTTCCAGCAAGTTCCATGGCCACCTGGAACAGTCAAGGAATCACACTCCTCAGCAGTCCAGGCAGGCTTCCCCCGTGCCAAGGAGTCAAATCTCCGACTGGATCAACTCTCTAGCCCATGCCCATGCTGCAAAGCTAACCTCCAGACTCGGTTGGGAGACCGTGGGCCAGCTCTTCACTTTGTCAAGGGTCTTGCACCACCATTTTGGCAGGCCCCCTCGACTCTTTCCACCAAATCTGCTCTTTGGAAATATGTTCGAGCAGTTGGTCCAATGTTGAAGGAATGCGTGCTTCTTCACTTGCGAGGGATGTCCCCAACCACGCTTCTTGAGAACACAGCTCGAATTCACAATGCGTTGAATGGTCCAGCTTTTGAGTTTCTCACTTGACCCCCGCTTCTGTTTCTTGCGAGAATCCCGATGTAGATCCTCTATGATCTGCAAAGCTTCCAAAGAGCAACCGGAGGATGTCCAAACCAGCCTCACAACTTTTGTCCCAGCAGGCCCTCTCAAAGTGGGGTGCCATTAGCCTTGTAACAGAGTCAAAGTAAAGACGGCCATCCGCAATAAGATTCTGATGTGCAACCTGTTCACTCAACTCAAACGATAGCACCAATTGAAGGTCCTTTCGCATCAGCTGCATTGCCGATTCTGCAAGTGAGGGATCTGCTGAAAGGAGTCCCCCGTAACAGTATGGCGGCGCAGAATGTTTTGACATCGTTCCAGCTCTGAGGCCAAGCAAGATACTTACACATCCATTGGCCCGGCTCCTCTTGTGTTGTCACCACCATGACATAGCCAATCAAATTCAGCCCTGACTCATTGGACAAAAACCATGCCAGTCCTTGCGAGTGAGCACTTGACTCACATTCAACTCTATGTGAGCCTCTGAAGTTTGTACATTCCTGATTCTCCAGGCATGGTGGGACCAACATGGTTTGGCAACTGACAGCATTACGTGTGACAATAAAAGGACACGATCTGTCATACACATGAGCGCCAAATGCAGGCCTCCCACTTTGTCATTTCTTAAAGATTGCAGGGTAGCAGCAATGTTTTGATTTGGATCAGGAGCCGTGGGGAAACTCCAAGTCAGGAGCATTCGCGTGATGCGCCACTCTTTCAGATGTGATGCTGCTTGCTCATGCCAGCTGAACCAGCGACCTTTTTTTGGCATTCCACCTTTTGCTCGAAAAGAGCAGGCCAGAAATGGCAGAGCTTCACTGTAGGATAGCCACAATCACGTCCAATCTTGGGAGCACACTCAGCAAAGATGGGTCTTTGGCAGGCAGAATCATTCTTGGCAAGACTCAAAAAATCACATAATCAAAAGTACACTTGCAGCAATCGAGCTGACCATGTCTCCGACTCCATGAAGGAATTTAATATGTTTCTCAGCAAAAAACCTCCTGATCCAAAGGGTCTGAAGTTGACTCTAAAGACATAGCTGCTTTTCATCAAGGATTGCCCCATCTCTGGTATGTGGCTGTTTTTGGTGAGGCGATGAATGGGATCCCGTGCAAAATGCAGCAGCATCAGCATCGGGTAATCTTGCTTCACAAATGATGCAGCAGCTGTGCACACTGGGCCTTGATGACTGAGGAGACAAGGTATTGGAAGCTCAGGTGAGTAGTCCAAATTCGTAAGTGTGGGTTGCTGATCTTTCCGTTTCACCATAACCTTGCATTCATTCCCATCAATGATCTGATGAAATGGAACCGCTGATTTGCAGGACATAGAGGAGCCAAACAAACTTCACGCGGTGCTCGGAATGAGTCCAAAGTCAAAGATTGTGAGGAAATGACTTCCAGTTGATGACTCAGGGCAGTCAGATAGCGATATGAAGAAAGTCTGTCTTGTTCACGCCTTGCGCATATTGTCTCAACAGATTCACCCAAGGAATAGTCAAAGGGACTAACAAACTTCACTGAAGGAATCTTTTGGATGGTACCCAAGCAACCTTGCCCTGTCTCTGTGCCAAACACTGTGATCATCGTCTCTTCTGTGCTGTGGGTGGAATCATCTGTCACACACCTGATGCGTCGAAGGCCATTGAACATTGACTGGCTTCTTGAATATAGATTCAGCTTCTTCTTTGCCCCGTGTATAACTGTACCCTTCTTCACTCCTCCATGCTGCTCACCAGAACGTGCATCAGCTAACATTCGCAAAGACATGGAAGGTGCGCTGCCCCGCAAAAAAGTTCCAAATCTGGCTGACATGAAGCCTTTTTTGCCGGCAACTGAAATGACATCAAATCATCAGAAGTGCTAACCATTTGCTCTTCCTGATCTTCCAAATTCTCCCCCTCCTCCCCCGCCTCCTCCCCAGAGTCAGGTTCTTCAGCTTCATTTGCTCTGTCGTTGGTGTCCTCCAAATCATCAGCTTCACTGGCTCCATCGGCAATAGGAAGAATGTCAATGTCTTCAGCAGCATCATCGGTTTGCTGCCTTGGTCCAGACAAGGGAATCTGTCTTGGCTCCGGATTATCAAGTATGTATTGAACGGTCAGCTGGTGGTGAACATCCACCAAGAAGTTCATCACATCCTAGATGAGTGCATTGACAAAGCCAAGGGCGTCCCCCTTCCATCGAGACTTGCGCTGGCTCTTCCGAGCTTTGCAGCACAACAAAGCAAACCAAACCAAGTCCACCAAGGGTACCTCCCATCAGTGGAACCAAGGCGCCATTACCCCTCATGGACTGCCATTGGGACTTGATACTGTCACGCGTCACTAGTCTGGCCCTGAAGAACTTCCACAAAATTCCACACAACGCTGGCAGCAATCACTTTGAAGGCATTGATAATGAATCCCCTGTTCAAGTGACAAACAATCAAAGTTTTGCCCAAAACAGCAGTGAATACACCTTTGACATAATCAACGGTTCTCTCACAGCGGCTGTTCTCCAAGAGCCAAGCAAAGTACATAAAGATCAATTTCGAAGTGCACCAATGCGCTTGTAGAGCTCCAGGCCTCAAGGGGCAATAGCAATAAAAAACAAGTTAAATAGCCTTGCACCAACATTGCTTTGTCTTTGCCTTTGGCTTGAAAAACAAACTTAAAGCAATCCCCTCACCTATTCATGAGCTCTGCAGTGCGCGCATAGAGGTGGCCATCGCCAGCATTACTCTCAAGCTTCGGGGAACTCTCAATCAACCTCTTCACACTACCTGGACAAGGGCATTCAGCCTGCTGCATTTTGTCCCACACATAGGAGATATCCCAGTAGATAGGGCCATCATCAGGTGTTCTGTATGCAACTTCAGAGAGAAACGAGGCATAATCTTTGGGAAACACCAGCACAGGCAATGAACATGGCAAAATGAATGCACCAGCTTGGTCGGCCAGTGCAAAGCGATCGGAATCTGTTGAACATTAAGTCATGGAACAAAGAGTCATGGACAAAGAGTCATGGAACAATGCCACAACATTGTTTAAACAAACCATCATCAAGTCATTCTTGTGGGTGGTGGTGAAATGTCCTTAGCATTTATTACCAATTCAATCAAAGTCAAAGGTCAGAGCCTGCGCAGTGAATGCAATGAATGCATAGTGTCACATGTGATATGAACAACGCCGTCAAACTTAGCAGCTTAGCACCAGGCAATCAAGGCACACCAGCCACCTCATGTCCAGACACATGGTTGCATAGCTCCTTTTTGTTTGTATGTGTGTCATACGTCAAAAACCATGACTGCTGCCTTTAAGATCGAATTGATGCTCACTGCCACCCCTATCTCTGTGTGACTGAGTCAACTTGTTTTTTTGACAAGGTTGAAACATGATTAAATTTACATAGCTTTGCCTCAATCACATCAAGCAGCGCTTGCATCCAAAACAGACGAAGCAATTTGCTTCAGGACTCCGGAAAGATTTCCCAGCCATCCTCTGTGGTGGCAGGGGCATTTG